ATCTCTCGAAAGAAATTTCGAGACAATTGAGGAACCAGCCAGGATTTTCTTTGGACACGACAGTCACTTTATTTTTTTCTTTTATTGTCTAATCACGCAAAATATTTCTTTGCTAAGGATATCCACTTTGTAATCCTTTTTCTCCTTTCAGGATTTCCATCATTTTCCCTAACTTTTGCTTGGACAAATTCTTTTTGAATTTGACTATGAAGCCCAGCGGGATATCCTGACTTTTGCCTAAGCGAGCTTTTTCCAAGTTACGACTTAGCGGGGATTTTTGTCTTTTTCTTTAATCAATTCTTATTCATTTCATTTTTTCATTTATTTTTATAGTACCCTTTCTTTCTTTTTGAACATGTCGCGTGATGTTGAATCATTTTCGACTTATTGGAAGAATTGTGACTGCCCTATTTCTTGGAAGATGAGGGATAACCATTGTTGTATCATCGTCTACTGACTTTCTGATGTGCGAGGGATAATCGTCGGGGTATCGCCAATTGATGCCCACTCTTGATAAGTGAAGGTTAGCCATTACAATTTTGAGTTTCATCATCCTTTTGAAGGATAACCATTATTGTATCCTTAGATGCGCATTTCTGATGAGTTCTGAACGCTTGATCAAATTAACTGAACACTACCATGCCCCAGGTTAAAAATGAGGGTTTTTTCTAAAATAGAAAAGAAACTCCTGCTTCAAGGGTCAAAGGGGTTAACGAGGGTTTCACTCCCTTATATCTTCGGTGTTTGGGAATTTGAAACAATGCATGTATATCGTCAACAGAGTTTTATTCAAAATCATACAACCAGAAATTTTGCATTTTAAATTCATCATCCTCCCCCCAAACCATGCCTAGGCAGGAGAATGGATAACAATTTGGTATCATAATGCAAAAAGAAATTTAAAATTAAAAATAAATACGAGTGAAACGAATGGATTTCTTCAAGACAAACATATTTATTGTATTAAGATAATCATTCAAATGTAAATAAGTTCTTTTATGCAAGCCGTACAATGATTAACAAGAAGAATTAAAAATGAGAAATCAGTAAAATTGCTAGTAAACATGAGAAGACTAATCATCCTTAAAATTCAGGGCATTCTTCAATCACGTTTATTCTTCAACAAAGACTTGGCTTGAACCTCAAGACAAATATCTTTAAGTGACAAGACGCCACTTATGACCAATTTTTGGACTTCAGCTTTCAATGGATAATATTGTTCAATACTGTGCCCAGGGGATCCCTGATGAAAAGCACAAGTCAAATCAACTTTGTAGTACCAAGGTATCTTCTCAGGAATCTTCGGTGGAGGTCGAGTCTGAACCAAATTCCTCTGCATTAGGATAGGAAATAACTTTGTATAAGTCATTAGAATTGGACCAAACTGAGCTTTCTTCTGATCAGGAACTTGTTGATTATGTTGACAAACTGGAGCGGTTGGAGGTAAATTGAACACGGATGATAGAAGAAACATGCTGATTATGATGCTGATTGTTTCTTCTTCTGGTTCTCTTCTTAGAAAAGTTATTATCAAACTTCTTCACACCACTAGTTGTGCCATTGTCTTCAGATAAACATTCCTTTTGAACATCCCCTTCTAGAAGCATTCCCACATTCGCCTTTTCTGGGAATTCACTGAGTGCATTGACTATCACCTTCTCATGAAAGAATGATTTCAGAGTTTCTGTGAAGACTTTTTCCATCTCTTCTTCCTTCCTAGAAGGATTGACTTGGGCGGCAACCAAAGTTTTAACCAAGGCAGTTAGATATTCCATATCATCCTTCAAAGTAGTTACCTCTTTGCAGAGTTCAAAAATATCTTGCTTAATGCTTTCCATCTTCCCTTAGCACGAGTGTAGTACTGATGAGACAACTTGATTCAAAAGACCAAAGGACCTTGAGTAAGACTTTTGGGAAACTCATGAAATGCATAGTCAAATGTAACATGATGCATGACATGCAATACAAATGCCACATTCTTATTTCCAAAAGTTCATACACTTTGATTCCAGTTATTAAGCCACAATATTATTATGTATTTTTTCATGTATTTATTATATATTATTTTTTATGTTTATTTTTTGTCCTAACAATTGGAATCAAGGAAGTAATGTTTGGAAACAAAAACATGTATGTTGATAATTATATTAACATGCTATGTATGCAAACATATTGGATCAAAGCTTATGCGATACTAGATAATTGCTGAATTGATAATAGAACCACTGTCATATGTAACACGATCAATAGTCCGGACCAATTCAGAATACCAAGGATCAAAGTCATCAGTATAATTAGAGTCACCAACGGAACATGTATAGTCACCATATGTACCTGTAAAGACTATTCCCTCCCTACTCACGGGTAATGACTAGGTCATGGTAAGGTCAATGGTCACTCAGAATCGAGGGTACTCCTGAAAAACTATCACCATATCACCTACATGAAAATGATAGCCCCTCATTTGTACCTCATCTGAGCGTGGACGACATGGCGGCATAGTGAAACCTAAGTCAACTAGTCGTTCATGTTCCACTCTATTCCTAGTGTTCCTGTGGTTTCCACTTGGCCTGGGTATTGGGCCTTTTACCTCATAGTAACATCCCACCCATCAAGAAACAGAGAAACCAGCACAACAACAATATAACAAATAACAATAAAGATGCAATGCAAACATATGCTCAAACATATATAAATGAATAATCCATAAAAGCATAATGATAACCCCCCCTAAAAAGAAAAACGGGAGCTAGGAGTGACTCACGGGATGGACCAGCAATAGGTCGACATGAGATTCCCCAGTGAAGTCGCCATTTTTCTGTAGTGGTAAAATCAATGAAGTTGCCACCGAGTATTTATTCATCCCATATGAAAGGGAAAGGAAAATCATCGAAGAAAAACCTAAAGAGGAAATCAAGGTCTTGCGACCGAGAGATTGGGTAAGGGAGTCGATTACGCGAGGGGAAGGTATTAGCACCCCACACGTCCATAGTACTCTATGGGATCCACTCTCGTTATTCTAATCAAAGGGTGTGTTTAATCTAATGCTTAAGGATTATCAACTAAGACGGAATGCATGCAAATAAAGGAGAAATAATGTAGGGAAAATAAAGGTGTACTCGCTCGGGCCCTACCCCAATGCATACGTATCCCTTTTGAGGAATCAGAGTTACCATAGTTAGGCTCATATATTTCGTTTGTTTGTATTTTTTATGGACAAAGTTAATTCCGCCTTCTGCCGCAGCTCGACCTTTGGAGACTTATAAGTTGGAACATAAGTAAACTAATCATGCCCTTACCTGAAAAGGGTTTTAGAGAAAAGGTGCCTGAGTGCACAAAATTGTTTGAATTGGTTTGTATTTTTGTTACCTTGAAAAAGGGTTTAAGTATGATTAGCATGTTTTTGATTTGCTAAGAAAAGAAGTTTTGTTTTAGATGCAAGGATGCAAAAAGGGAAAGAAAAGAGTTTATGGGAGACTAGCCTATCTCTAATCTAATGTTATCATACAATGGTAGTCCTATGTCGAGGATGAAAGGGGAAGTTCCTACCTACTATTAGCCTGCATGGTTTACAACCTAAGGTCTAACTTGCGTTCAAACAGAGCAAGCACATCCTAAGGGAACATGGTATGTACAAGGATAAAGCAAGCAAGATAATAAGCTTAAGAGAGCACACCTAAAGATATCCTACCTAAGTTAGCATGCCAAAGAAAGTATAGAAAAACTATTATATTGGGAGCATGCAATAAGAGCGAAGTCGTGATCTCAATTTCTAAATTGAGTGACTCATCGATCGGCAAGAAATAAAGGAAAGCGATAGAATCCTATAGGGAGCATGCACTGAGAGCGAAGTCGTGATCTCAATTTCTAAATTGAGTGACTCATCAATCAACAAGAAAGTAAACAAACACAAGCACAACACATATAGCAAATGAAGTGTGGAATGCCTGCTACAGGTCTTTAAACAGCGACTTCGAGTGCACGCTCTTTATTTCCTACTACACATGATATCTAGAAAGCGATAACGAAATGCAATAAAGTGCGAAGAAGTACAAGGGTAGTAGTGGAGGCTGCCAAAGCAAGCAAGTCGTCAAGAGAAGAAGAAAGCACTGAAAAATCAGGGAGTACGCGTCGAGCAAGCTTTACCAAGAAACAAACAAAGTTAGAAACAATATCCAATTAAGATAAAGGCAAACGCATGTTGCAAATGCAGCGCATAATCAGAAGTTCTATTAAACCACTGATCATGCCAAGGGAATTGAATCAAGGATACAGAATCAATAAGAACGTATTAAAATCTTAATTCTAATCATGCACCAAACATTAGTTCAATTAATTCCTAAGCTAGTAGAAAAAATCATGATAAAAAATATCACTAAGTCAAGGAGTAACATATTAATACCCACACAAAATTTCAGCCAAAAACCATGGAAGAAAATACTACAATTAAATCACCAAAATTCAAGAAACAAAGTGAAAAATCAAAAGAAGTTAGGAGGTGCAGTGTGAGCTGATGGGAGTGTTGTTACAAATCCTGAATGTTAAGCCCAAATCCAATTCACTTCCACATTTTCATATTTTAATAATAAAAATGAATTAAATGAATTTGAAAAAAAGATAAATTAAATTAAAATCATGGACCGAAACGTTGCGTTTTGTAAATCAGGTCTAGAATGTGACTGCTCCAATTCTTTGAACACATACTCTCTTTCCTCTCTCAATCTCAATGGCACAGCTCTTATTCTTTTTGATCCACCACCGTTCTGATTCAGTTTCGATCGCCTCCCTCTGTCTTCAGACATTTTCATTGCAACCTCTTCTACTTTTTATTGAGAACTACTCCATCAGCTTCTTCGCAGATCTCTGCCGAATCTACACTTCCGTCGTTCGCTTCTGATTTCCCCTTTAAACATTTCGGTCTATTAACAAGATTTTCTTATCTCTATCACAACATTCGCCTTCATCTATCGCAGTCTCATTCACTATTCAATACTCCGTGAATGATTTGTTATCCGCCTCCTTTCTTCGGCCTCGATTCACACAAACAGAGATACGATACAACAAAAGAGAGTACTGAAGATTACCTGCCGGAAAACACTCTGGTGCGCCTTCAATCGACGGTGCTGAGAAGGAACAAGAAAAAGATCTTCAATGAAAATTCGGTATGAAATCTTCTTCGTGAATTCTATTACTTCTTTGATTGTTTTTCACATTTCTTCTAATTCTGTTTTACTACCTTTTGCTGTTTTGTGCACACGATATTTATTGTTGTTACTGATGCGTGTGATCTGGTTGGGATGTTGCAGAGAAACATTGAAGCTGGCGATGAAGAGAAAATGTTGAAATTGTCGTTGCAGTTCTGCGAATCTGTTGCAGGATCGCTATGCTTCACCTTTTGATGATGAAGATTGTCGAAGTAGAACACGATTGGGGCAGAGAGTATAGAGGACTTTTATTGTAGAAGCAGGGAAATGATGATGAAGAAGAGAACTGAATAATGGCGAGCAATTTTAGAGAGGGAGAGGGATCTCAAATTTATCAGTTGAGGACAGAGGAATGAGTTGAGAGGATTGAGAGTAGTTCTTCGGGGTGAGAGAGATTGAAGAGAGCCATCTTCACCCCTTCTTTCTGGTGAGTCCTCTCCTTTTCTGTTATAGTCTGTTAGGAGTTTATTACAAGTTGGTTAGAAGGGTGGAGCTGAACTGGAATTCGGTTAGATGCTCATTAGAGTTTTTTTTTTGTTATAGATTCACCCCGGAGATTGAAATTGATAGAAGTTAGTTATACCATTCTGTTGCAAGTTAGTTAGCTGGTTCCAGGTAGTTGAAATTGTTATCTCTGTTATAGAATTCTGTTATAGGTATGAAATTGATGAGCTGGTAGTTAAGAAACTCTATTATTGTTAATGTACATTCTGATTTAATAATTTTCTAGTTTTCTATTTTTCCGGATTTTATTCTGAACTGGGCAGTTTGATCAATCACTAAAATGTCAAGTGGCTCCATGGAAACAGAATGCAGCTTCTAGCTATATGTGTGTATAATATAACTTCTAGCCATATGCGTGCATAAGATAGTAATAGAGTCTTTGAGTGGTGATGATATAGACAGAAACCTTTCTCTGAGAAACTCAAGAAAAGATGCATGCATGCTCACACCAGAATCCGAAGGTTTGTCATCTTTTGACTGGTTAGAATTATCATCATCAACTTGATCTTGCTCCTTTCTCATCAGGTTCTCCCTATATTGACTGAAGTGTGTTTTGTACTTTTCAGGCTCATCTTCAATCAATGTCTTCATATAGGCCGTAACATGTCCACCAAAGATATACTTCCTGTGAATCTCAGCATCAATTTCTTTTTAGCAAGCTGCAAGATACGCTCTTTTATGCTGGCACGAACCACAAGTCAGTATACTAAAAGTCTATTTGATTGCCCAATTCTTTGTGCTTGATTCATTGCTTGAATATCTGCATGAGGGTTGAAATTAGAATCATAGATGATGACGGTGTCAGTAGTGGCCAAATTTATCCCAAGTCCACATGATCGAATGGATAACAAGAAAACATTTGTCTTGGTTGAAGCGTGAAATTGTTGTCTGGCGATCTGCTATAGACATCGAGCCATCACCTCTCTCAAATGTTCTAGGCCCAAATTCCATGTTCAAATATTCCTCCAGGATGTCAAGAAGCTTTGTCATTTGTGAGAATATAAGAACTCTGTGACCTTCCCTATACAAAATCTTTAGCATAGAATGCAAAAGACTCAACTTTGTCGAAGCCTTTATTCTCATTTCATGAAGGAACTCAACAGATCCAGAATCAGGCTCAGTTCCTGGTATGAGATATGGATGATTGCAGACCTTCCTCAGTTGCAGGTTCTTGCTTTTTGTAGCAGCATGCCTCTATTGTTAAGTGGTCACGAAAGGCCATGGCGACAACGCTCGAAGGACATGAAAATCATAGTGCTTTGGCCTAGCAATGTGGGTCATCAATAATAGGCTTAAACATATTTGTATACTTTTCTATGCATGGTAATGGTATTTGTAACTCTTGGGAAGGATTCGAGTTGTGATTCATGGCATATTCAGTTCATTATTGAAAATTTTGTGAACATAGGTGTAGGATGGGATTTAGGATGGTATTGTAACTTTCACTTGAAGTTGTAATGGAATTTTGTAATAGCATGTATGAACTTTTATTTTGATGGAATTAATTGAAACATGAATGAACTTGGATGATCTTGAATGGATTTTTTTGACAAAACCTGAAACATGAATGACATAATTGGACAAATCCAAATTAGGATAGAATCATAGCCAACATGGATGGAATTTGAATGAAGTAATTTGATTTTGATGGATGATAATGCTTGGCTTTTGTTTCAACTTGTCTATATTTGAATTATGATATATATAAATTTGGGTTAAAAGTCCAAGGGAAATCGATCAACATTTGAACTTGAATAATATTCTCAGTTATTCAAAAAAATGAATTCACAAGAACCACACCGAATCATTCTCGCCTCCTTTCCAAAATTCCTAAATTCCATCTCAGATTCGCCTTTTGTAATTGAAGCAACAAAAAATAACAATTCCTTGATCATATTACACGTCCACAACATCATCTTTATACCACGATTTAATCCTTGTGATTCATTCCGCCAAGGCACCTTAGTAGACAACCCATGACCTTGAAGCAAATGTCATGGAGAAAACCTTGTAGATAGGAACAATCAGAAACGTATGAATGATGATGATCACAAAACCCTGAGATCCCTTGAGATTCACTTTGATGGCTTAAAAGTCCATGATGAAGGTGTCCTTTTATCTTAATAAGAAAGAAGTCCACAATGTTCAAGAACATAACCCTAATTCCATAATTTCACTGCCTTGAAGAATAACCAGAAGAAATCAAGCTTTGTTGAACATATACACCTCAATCAATTGACAAAGCCCTAATCTCGTGCCAAGAAAAATGAGAGCGCCAGTTGAATCAATCTTGAGCAAGACGACAACCTCCATTCAGAGAGAGAAACCCTAATGCCGAAAGCTCTTCAATCTTATAACCATGAGACCAATGCTATATGCAATATGTACAAAGTGTGATTAGGAATCTTAGGGGGGGAAATTGGGGTACAACAGACCCCTGTTGGTTCAGTTTAAATCTCGCAACGGTTTATCCTGATTCTTTCCTGAAGACATCTTCTCTGGTTCAGATAAACCGCTCCAAGATTTATTCTGATTCTTTTCAAGACCCCTGCCGGTTCAGCTTAAATCTCTCAAAGGTTTATCCTGATTCTTTCCTGCAGACATCTTCTCTGGTTCAGATAATTCATTTCAAAAGTTGCTCTGATTCTTTTCCAGACCTCTGTCAGTTCAGTTTAAATCTCTCAATGATTTTTCCCGATTCTTCCCCAGTAGACGCTTTCTCTGGTTCAGATAAATCACTCCAAGATTTATTATGATTCTTTCAAATTAAAAATTATTCAAGACTCCTGCTAAGTTCAGTTTTAAATCGACCTAATGTTTACTCTGTTTCCTTTCCCTAGCTGAAGTCAAGCTTAGGCTTAGTCTAATTTTCTCACAACAGTCAACGTTGGATGGCATCTATAAGCCCATCTCCGCCAACTCTCCATCATTTCTCTAAATGGCATCTTTAAGCCCATTCCTTACTTTATGGGCACTCTAGTGTTCAATTATCTTCCACCTTCAAGTCACGAATGGCAGATTCACCAATCTAACTCTTCAGGTTTAAGAAGATTGAACAGGGGCAGTTGTTGTACCCCAAAATTTTCCCTCTCATTTCTCAAAGGATCATCCTGGACCCTCAGGTTTGCTTCTATCAAGTTTCAAGTCTCAGATTACAATTTGCTAAGAAAGTCATTCACAAGGGCAAAATGGTTAAAAACACACTGAAAAGTCAAGCTCTGACTTTTTGGTCAAAATCAAGTTTCAACAATCATATTTCATCAGGACATGAATTTGGTTCATCAAAAATCAAAAGTCAGAAATTACTTTGAAAAAATCAAGTTTCTAAACATTTAGAAAATTTTCTAAGTGTTAAGAGAATATGATACTTCAGAACTTCCGGGCCAGCCTTCACGCAAGTGCAATCAAAATTTGCAAACACGATTCAGAACATGATGCTTCAATCAAAAAAATTGGAAGCAATGTTCTTCGGTCAGAACATGACTCTTCAGTATATGGAGGCTACGTTTCTGGTCTTCTGCAATCAGAACATCACCAAATCCAAAAACCTTGTTTAAGCAGCCTGCTATAGCACAGTCCTGCAACCAGCTGCTGATCCAGTCCACATCTACACTTTCTCAAACCCCATATTTGCACCAAATTAGCATACAAAAGTTGTGATTAAAAAGCAATGGAACATTATGCCAAAAGGGTTTAAATCTCATTTGGTTTTCCCCCCCAAAACCACAGCAAACTCATCTATAAATAAGTTGCTCCATCACACGTCCAAGAGGCTAGCTTTTGGAAAGAGAGAATTATCAAAGAGAGAAAAGAAAACAGTAAAACATTCGTGAACCCTGAATTCCTAAACAAAACCAAAACCTTTGTTATTCCCTTTGAATCAAAGAACGTAGCATTTTTTGTTTCGTTGTTCTTGCTGACTCCAAAACATCTGAAGGCAGCAGCTCAAGCCCCAAGCACACGTTCTAGATTCAAGGTAAGTCTTTCTGGATTTGAATCTTTTCATTCAGAACATCATTAAATATGTAAATAGCATAGTATTGATGTTGTCCATATCATTTCATAAGTAGAAGAAACTGTGGATCAGAACTTCTTGAATAACGCTAGGCTCAGAATTAGGATTAGAACTTCTATGAACTGTGGTGCTTTTATCTTTCTGATTTTTGCTTTGTTAAGAACTAAATAAGTTGTTGATGAGCTGATTAATGTAAGAAAGGAGTTAAAGTGTAACACAGAACTTCTGGGTCTGTCTTTCCCACTGCTTTAGCACAACACAAAACTTTTGAGTTCTCCTCACTGTTTTCACAACATAGAACTTCTGATTTTCACTCACTGTTTAACACACACAGAACTTCTAAGATTTTCTCGATATTTTCACACACAAAACTTCTGATTTTTACTCATTGTTTAACACAACACAAAACTTATAATTTTTGCTTACAGTTTAACACAACATAGAACTTCTGATTCTTTCCCACTGTCTAAACACAACCCAGAACTTATGTTTTTCCCCCTAACATTTCTTTTAGGATTCCAATGGCATCAACCCAGAACTTCTGGTCACCTCTGACTTTTTTTTCTGAGCTACAGCACACAGTGCTAGAACTTCTGGTCCCCTTCATTTTTCGTTTTCAGCAATGCACTTATCCTGCCTTCATTAGTTTTTTCCTTTTTTCTTATTTTTATTATTT